CACTGTTTTATTCTTAGTTATAATATAAGGCATAGACAATATGAATACAAAGCATAGATTATGATCATCACAAGGGGCCAGTAATCTACTTGCACAGATAATAACAAATACACAACAGTAAGTACATTACTGTATAGGACATTTTGTGACCATTACCTCTGTGTAGTCCAAATGCGTAAAAAAATATTTATACCTAGCTGACCCGGCAAACTTCGTACCGCCTAAAAGTTTTTTCTCACCTTTTAAACCTTCTCTAGACTTCCCGAACCTATGAAGACCAAAATTAGCCAAATCAGTTCAGCCGTTCTCGAGTTTTAGCGAGACTAACGAACAGAAAATCATTTTTATTTATATAGATAGATAGATAGATATAATTATCGACATAATAATATATCTTACCTATTATATTTCTTGTTTCCACAGTAAAAAGGAATATGGCGGCAGTGCAGTTCTTGACGTGGGAGTATACGTGCTGCAGTTTGCACAGTTCGTGTTTAAAGCAATTCCAGAAAAGTTGACCGCTATTGGTAACTTGAATGAACATGGGGTAGACTATTCAGAGACTATCATTTTGGAGTATAAGAGTGGCAAACGAGCTGTGCTTAACACTCATACGCAGTTGGAGATGTGTAATCGGGCCACGGTATATGGAACTAAGGGACGTATTACGGTAAGTGGTTTGCTTTCTGGTGGAGTTAAAGAACCTTTTACCTACCTATTTGAAATAGAAGAATCTATTGTCATTACTTATTCTTTACGACGCAGCCCAGAAGGACTTTGTAATAATTCTTGCTTTTACTTTTACGATTTAAACTGCACCTTTTTTATGGTATAAGCCGGTTTACGAGCAGACGAATCACCTGATGGTAAGCAATCGGCGTCGCCCATGGACACCTTGAACACCAGAGGCGTTACAAGTGCGTTACCGGCCTTTTGGGGATTAGGAGTTTGTGGATCATTGGGGATTCAGGGATTGGGGAGATTGGGGAAGGGGAGGGTAATTGGGCCTCCGGTAACCTCACTCACACGACGAAACACAAGCGTTGCTTCACGTCGGTTTTCTGTGAGGCCGTGGTATCCCCCCTTCGTGCCTAAGCATGGCTCTCCCACAGTGAAAATAACACCTGCATAATAGTCTCAGTAAACCATCACACCCATCAAAATTATTCAGTCTTTAAGTTATGCAATTGTTAATGAAACTCAGTTACTTTTTATCCTAGTTGGAAGCCCCATTTCACTTTCCTGACAGAATGATCATATCCACTGAGGCAGGGAATATGGTCAAAGAATTTGAACTGTGTACATCGAAACTTCCATACAACTTTCAAAATAGCGCTGGACTTGCGTATGAGGCGATTGAGGTCGCCAACTGCATCAGAAAAGGTGTGTATCACAGTATTGACTATTCACAAGTAATTAATGCAGACCATTGGAGTCTCTTGATGAGTATTGAATTATATCCTTGCGTCCGGTCAAAATTATTATTATATATTATATATATACCTATTAATACAAATATTAAACACAAACTTTTTTCTTAAACAATTTAGTCCATGTGGCAAACTACATGACATCATATCGTCACACCTTTTATCCCCGAAGGGGCAGCCAAAGGTGCACATTACGGCACTTAATGCCACTGTACAATTTAACACCCTTTTCACTATATATGTTATGAGTCCCATGTAATAGGGTGTGAGCCTATTGCCATATACCGGGCGCAATTCCAGACTACGTGCTACTACTGAGATTTTTTACCATCGAGGCAGGCAAAACTACAATAATAAACAATTTATTAATTTGATTTGTTTAAAGGTCTAAAAGAATCACCTCGGATGACTCATAAAGAGAGCATTCAGTTGGCAGAACAAGAAGACCAAATAAGAGAGCAATTGGGGGTCTCGTTTGAGTGATTGTGTTAATGAACAATATCGGAAAGAGCCTTGCTTTAATAAAGTTTTTGTTAATAACACAAATAAATGTTTGCAGCTTTTGTTTCAATATTTTTCTATAATAACTACCTAGTACCGATATTGATAAGGGAACCTAAATATTAATCGTGTGTAAGCAGTTTTGTGACATTCCTGGGTTCGAATAAAAACTTGATAAGTATTTATTCTTTCTAGAGTATTTTAAGAGGGGAAAATCATCCAATGTTTTCTCCCGCCATGGTGAGGTGAGAGAGAGTGTCAGATTCTTACTGGCTAAAAACCACCTACCTTCCTACTCTTGCACTTCAAGCCGGAACCCCAGCAAATCGTGTGGTCAAGTATAGGTCATCATCAACAGCCTATAAATGCCCACTGCTGAGCAAAGCCTCTTCTCACACGGAGAAGGTTAGAGCATTAATCACCACGCTTGCTCAATGCGGGTTGGCGATTTCAAACTTATAATTAGAAATTATAAGTTCAGGTTTCCTCACGATGTTTTTCCTTCACCGTTTGTCAGTGGTGTCTAAATAATCTTAGAAAGTACATATAACTCGGAAAAAGTCACATTGGTACTTGCCGTTGGTAGGTTTCGAACCCGCACCCTCATGCATGAGAAGTGGGCGTCTTAAACCTCCGGGCCACCACGACTAAGTATAGGTAGGTCAACTATACTAGACCACACGAATAGGACTAAGTTTAAGGTAACAAGATAAATTATGATACTTGCGTAATAAAGCTGTACGCGCGTTGTATCCTACCGACACTTTAAGTCGCAGCAATTATTATTGGCTTACTTACTGTCACTGCGAAAGGGGTAAACACTATTTATCTTAGACATCAACTCTGGTAACAGTAAGCAAGCTTTAGTTCCGTCCCAATCCCATTTTGAAAAGGGCTTAATCTCCGCTATTAACCGCAACAGACTATAGTGTATTGTCCCGGATTACTTCTTCGATAGACAGGATTTATACAGAACGAACCTTTTACTTGAAATTTATGTCCCTCAAACAATTAGTTCTGTAACATGTTTGTATAAATTGGAAAACTGTCAATTGTTATTTGTAAGTTGTCCTTTTTCAATAGAGATGTATTGCATCTAATTAGTTATTACTCTTTCAGTGCGTTTTATGAGAGCAAACCTATGAGCCTTATATTTGATACAGATACAGCGCTCTCTGTTAAGCCTGAACCTTTTGAACTGTTATCTTGAAGACACCTGTCAAGCGAGCATATTATGGAAACCTCTCTTACATGGAATAGAGGAGGTGCATAAACCAGTAATAGATTAGCACGGACTATTGGATTATGATTGATATAATATATGTCTATTGGGTCACTTATCAAACAAATGATATAAAAACACTACGAATAAACTTCACAGAAGAACAAATACAAATAGGTTAATATTAGCAATAGCTAATAACTCAATATGAGAAACATCAAATACATTAAATATTGTTTGAACCCTGTTTGAAAAAAAGCGAAGAAAATACTAATAATGTTTGCAGATTGATTTTTCTTCTTCAGTCCTAAGTACCACTCTGAAGCTAAATGAATTCGATACAAGATAAATAATTTGCGTACAAATTGAATGGTTCACTTGAAATTTTCTAGCGAATGATTTCGTCAATTTTATCTTATTAAATCGTATGATATTGTTTTCTTAGAAGTAATTTTGGATAATTAATAACTGTGTTCAATGAGTAGATGAGTACAGAATTTGTAAAATATATTGGTTGTCATGTGAACGTATGTGAACATTGGTACGTCTATACCTTAACAGGCGTTGCACTGTAGAGGCTCCGGGCAGGTGTTAGAAGACCACCTCTTGACTAAAACCAACCTGATGGCCATCAGGGTGGTTTTAGTGAGGTAAAAATCCCACACTCCCTGGTCTTTTATACCCAAAAAGCTATAGTATTAGTAGTATTTGGATTGATGGACTAGAGGTCAATCAAAACGTAATTTAAAAGTCGAAATCTCGTTTTCCGTCTCTCCTTTATTTTTCGTCATTTTTGGCAGCCATAGAAAGGTTTGGTTTGTAAGTAGTAAATCGACAGATCTCAGGTTTTTATACACAAGAGTCGTTCTTAAACCGACCTGGATTTTTCGATATCTGAAAATTCGCAGAAGTATAGCGGAGTTTCGACTTTAGAATAGTACCCAGTTTATGACCCTATAGTCACTTCTTTGTTTTCATAGGTACCTATTTTAATTCATAGCATTGACATCATATAGTTGACTTCTAAAACAGCAACTGTAGCCTATGGATAAAACTATTATTATAAACTTTTAATCGATTTCCGCAAAACTTTTATTGGTCTCCCAATATGGAAATTGGTCCACGCTTTTCAGTTATATTATTTTCCTTCACACACAGGTAGATAAATTAAGCAGATGTCCATAGATGGCGCTGATCTCTAAGCTTGAAGTGATAAGACGGCTCATTTGTCATTTGCACGTGAATTAATAAAAAGGAAATGTATTTCCAAAGGCCGTCGTCAAAGGCTGCCATGCAACTTTTCCGCCACTGCTATAAAATTGCTAAGTGCAATATTGGACTGAAAATACTCATATAAAAGTAAGATCATAAAAGAAGACGGCATATGGTTGGAACGAGTGCCGTAGCCGCATTGTATGCGGGCACAACGTTGCGCCACTAATAAATGCTACTGAAAATGTATATTCAATAACAATAATAGAATAACATACACGAATAACTTGAAATAAAAACTACATTAAACCTCGTGAATTCTAGAAAATGGATTTCATTGTGAATATCTTTAAATCCTCAATAAATTAAAAAAAACAAGTCTACCTAGTCTAACACAAGTTTGGATTAATAATTTAAATGGTCTAAGGTATCAGGTTTAGCATCCAATTTGCAAGCATTCCGCACATCTACACTAGGAAAATGCATATTATGAACTTTCTATATTAACAGGCTTTAGTAAATATTCCTTGCTCGATGTTAATAATGAATATCTACATACATGAACTCGCTCATACGATAACCCAAGTTAATAAAGGCTAGGTAATGAATTCTATGGACTGTGGGCTAAAGTCACGTACTACTTGGGTCAAGGCATCGTCACTCAATAATATTCTGAACATTTTACTTATGTATTTTGCCTTATTATATATAAAAAGGATGGGAGCTACTTTCAGGCATTATTGCTGTGGATCGGTCTAGTGCCTACAATTCTTTGTTAAGTCTGGGATTGTTTGTGTAGTGACATATTGCTTAATCAGGCTATAAATTATAGGTAAAATTATTTACAATTCTCTGTACTAATACATTAAGGATATAATAAAACTAAAATAATGTATAAATAGATAAAAACTAAATAATAATTAAATAAAAAATAACAAAACCTAAGATAAATAGAAACTCAACTATTTCTAACAGAACTAAAATTAACATAAGAAATATAGAAATATAGTATAGGGAAAAAATAGGCTAGGGTATAAGTTGAATAATTATTCTTTATTGATTTTGGGTGAGTTTTCTTGTGTAGTTATTTGTTAATATGCCTTAAGCGTGATTTTAGGCTAATGACAACCTCACGCAGAAACCCCTATTTTATAAAACCACACTGTTTAGGCGACATTAAGTTTTAGTAGAAAGTGTCCTTCAGTTGGGACTAGCTACTACATTTATTTATTTATACTGATAAATGTCATTATATTTATTTTATGGACATTAGAAAATAGAGTCGTTACTAGATAAAAAAGGTATCGTAACTACCTTAAGGAGTCGTGATTTTGTTCTGTTTATTCAGCTCAGATAATCGTCGTTTTAACTCCAAACGAGGCCGAGGTTCCAAAGTCGCTTAGATGATGTAATCCTATCTATTTCAAATGTTCTGTCTAACGAACCATTTGATTAATTGATAACGTCGGTTTCCTTTAGCAAATCCGGCAGTATTTGGACGATTTATCGAGAATTTCCTAATTTCATGTCGCAATTTGACACCCAAGGACAGAATGGAGTGAAAAGGATTCTTTGGGGATTTTAGGGTATTTTCCAATTTTAGAATATTGCGATATTATTATAGGTTTAAACTCAATCAAGATCTTGTTGAACCTTTGATTGCACAATTGGTGCGGTGGCTGGGCAACCAGCTGCCGTGCAACGTGTCGCGGGTTCGCAAATCCACAAATTGTTGTTTCGGGTCTGGATGTCATTGTGTATGTGAACTTGTACCTATGTTTGTAAGTGCACGACACAGGACAAAATCAGGATAAAACGTGGGGGACCGATTAAAAAAAAATGTGCGTATGTCGATTGACTGCTTATCAACGTTTTCCAGGTACGAATCATAGCCTTGTGGCACCTTGCAATCATCATTTTTCTATGACAAATAAACTTCTTTCCCCTGAGAATTCTGGTTCAGTATTTAAATTAGCCATCGAAAGAGTTTTTAAAAATTTAAAAATATAGTACAGCTGGATATTTCTTACTACTCTAGTACTCTAAGTTTCTAAGTAATGTTCGAAGGGGAAGTCACTAGGACAAAGAGAAACTACTAACTGCAGTTGTTCATCCATTAAAGGATTACTTACTCATGTAAGTACGTTGTATCTAGGAAACAGAAGTTAGCTCCCGGTCATAGAATTTTAAACCTACATCCTTTTAGATTAAGATGAAAATGGAAATTAAGATGTAATGACGTTGTTTAAGTTACGCTTGTTATGATGCATAAAGTATTTAAGATTTTGCTGTAATAACGAGAAATCGCGGGTTACTCACGTGAATATACTGACTGCGCGGTCGATCGCGCACGCTGTTCATGAGGAAGAACCCCTCTGTGGTTCAAAACTAGTAGAGCTTTTCTCAGTGTATTCACGTGAGTAATATGCGATTTTTAGTTAATTTAATATGTCTCACGATAGTTATTATAAAAATATTTTTCTTGTCACGGGAATTGGATAATTATGATATCTAATAAAAATCGAAATTAATAATGTTGAATTGATAGACTGTCTGTATCTCAAACGACTAAGACAATTATTATTTACTATTGAATTGCTATGAAGATAGTGTTATACT